TTAAAAAAAAAAAAAATTCATTGAGTTTACGGCGTGCAGTCAATGTATGCCGTAAATAGTTACATTTTTCGGCATGCCATCAATGTATTCCGTAAATACTTTTTGGAATATACTTTCCTGAACATGAATTCTCTAATGTGCAACTATATTTCTCATTTTCTCGCGGAATTTTAATGCAAATAATAAAGTCCTAGTAAAAACAGAAAATAAAAAGATGAAAAGGATGTAGGACGTTGATAAAAAATATCATGTGTAAAGAAGTGCTATGTAATCATAACATTACATTTAAGTTTATTCCCATACATAAAACGTGGAACACACGTGTTTATTACTAGTATATAAAAATGAGTGATGGATAAAAGAATAATACTTATATGATCATTGCAATATATAGTTGAAAATCAAATTTGACTATTTATAAATGATTTAAAAAATTGTCAAACGATAGTAAATCGTATTTAAAAAACTAAATAAATAATTAAATGGGCTTGATAAATGAGGATTTTTTAATCCACTTCCCGCCTTTCAAAAATCCCCAATAGAGCTGGGATGGTAATTATCTCCTTGGATCTATCCATCCCTAAGTTATTTGCAAACCGAAGTCATGACTAGAGAAAATGCTCATAAAGTGTCAATTTTCATGTGCTGTGTATTCTGTGTGTATTGATTGTAAACATTCATGTGGTAGTTGTAAAATACATTGTGTATAATCATAGTTCTTCTCATAGTTTTAAGCAAAAACATTAGTTATTTTTAAAATAAAGTATACGTCATTTGGTATATTATTTTAGTTAAATCTTGAACAAGAACGTATAACCGTAAAAAGTGATTTGATTTGAAAATCCATCAAAAATTGATCAAAATGGACCATTTATACTCCCAGTAGAATGTGAACAAATCTTAGAATTTAATCAAATTACGGAGACACTAAAATTTCAAAATCACTATTGTTGATCTACTTTAATCCTCAATCAAATAATTAAACTAACTACAAAGATCCCTAGTCTCGTGTAAATAATTGATAATTTACAAAATAATATCAATTTTTACTTCATCAAAGGGCAACGTGGAGAAATAGATGTAACCCTATTCTCAAACTTAAGGTTACTGCATTTAGCTTTAGCAT